ACTTTGAAGACAAAGTTAGCTCTTCAAAATATTAAAATGCTTGAAAAATGCTATGAGGTTTTACATTTTCGATACTCTAAATTGCCCTCACACCTTCCAGATTTGTGCCATTTCGATTTTCTTTTTTATTTTCCACTCTTCTAAAGCTGTGTCCCGGCTTTGCCGTATCCATCTTGCAGTCTCTGTATAGACTGCACAGCGTCCCATACAAAAAAGAAAACCCGCTGCCATCTAATTCAGCGGTTCTCACCCTGTGGATCGCGACCCCATCGGGGGTCGAACAACCCTTTCACAGGGGTTGCCTGATTCATAACAGTAACAAAATTACAGTGATGAAGTAGCAATGAAAATAACTTTATGGTTGGGAGGGTCACCACAAGATGAGGAACTGTATGAAAGGGTCAAAGCATTAGGAAAGTCGAAAACCACTGATCTAATTGATTCTAACTCATAGTGACCGTATCGGGCAGAGCAGAACTGCCCCTTTGCATTTCCAAGTCTTTTAAAAAACTTTTAAAAAACTGCAGAGTGACTGGTGGGCTCAAACCACTGACCTTATATGGCAGCTCAATGTATAACCAAGTAGCCACCATGGCTCCATCTACAGCTTCCCTGGGAAGTCCCTTAATACCAAGTTCTTTTTCAAATATTTCTTACCTTTCTTATCTTATCCTGTGATTTGTAGGTCTGAATTGTTCTCAAACTTAAAACTATGATGAAAAATAAATTAGTATAACTTAGTAACTAAAAAGATAGCAGAACATCATCTTAAGAAACTAGAGCTGGTATGGTCTGTACGATGCAATTTTCTGGATCAGTGTCCCAAATAACCCAGGAACTGGTCTAAAAACCAAGCCACCAAGAAAAGAAATGTTTTGTTGGGCTGTGAAATCAATGGGATTGAAGGAAGAAGTTCGAGCTGCACTGAAAGCATTACAGAAAACAAGGGTCCAGGAACTGACGGAACATAAATCGAAAAGTTTCAAGAAATCAATGCAATGCTGGAAGCACTCACTTATCCATGCAAAAAAATTGGAAGACAGCTACCCGGCCAACCAACTGGAAGAGATTCATATTTGTGCCCACGCCAAAGAAAAGTGACCCCAAAAGAATGTCGACATCATAGAATAATATAATCAATAACACATTAAGATCACAAGTAAAATTTTGCTGAAGATGTTTCAAAAACAGTTGTATCGTACATTGCCAAGGAGCTGCCCAGAATTCAAGCCTAATTCAAAAGAGAACACGGAATGAGGGATGTCAATGCCGATTGATGTCAGATGGATCTTGGCTGGAACCAGTAAGAACAGAAAGATGTTTACTTCTGTGTTAATGCCTTTGAAAAGGCATTTCTCCCATCCTTAGGAGAAACCTCATACAGAGCCTCATCCACAGAGACTGTGTGGATCATAAGAAAATAATGAACAACATTGAGAATGGGAATTCCAGAACACTTCATTCCGCTCACGTGGAACCTGTACATAGACCAAGAGCTATTCATTCGAATGAAACAAGGGAACGCTGCGTGGTTTAAAATCAGGAAAGGAGTCTACCTGGGTTGTACCCTTTTACCATACTTACTCCATCTGTATGTCTGTATTCTAAGCAAATAATCCAAGAAACCGGAAAACCTGAAAAAGAGTGTGGTATTGGAGGAAGGCTCATTAACTATCACATATGCAAATGATTCAACCTTGTTTGCTGAAAGCAAGGGGTAGTTCAAGCATTTGCTGACCAAGATCAAAACCTATAGCTTTCAGGACCTATTACAACTCCATGTAAAGAAACAAAAATCCAGACCAACACACAACATCATGATAAATTAAAACAATAATAAAAATCCAACTATGTAATGTATTGGACAAATCTGCCGAAAAAGGCTTCTTTAAAGTGTTAAGGAGCAAAGAAGTCACTCTGAGGACTGAGATGCATCTGAACCAAGCCAAGGTGTTTTCAGTCTCCTCGTGGGCACGTGAAGGCTGGGCAGCGAAGAAGATCAAAGAGCTGATAGATTTGATTATGGTGTTATCGATGACTATGGAATAGATCATGGACTGTCAGAAAAGCAAACAAAACTCTATCTTGGAAGAACTACAGCTAGGGGAAGAAAGAAAAGGAAGTACAGCTAGGTGGCTCCTTAGAAGACAAGACAAGACTTCATCTCAGATATTTTGGAAACATTATCAAGAGGAACCAGGTCCACTCCCTCCCTCACTGCCAGCAAACCAATGGCGACTGGTAGTGAGCCTACAGGACAGGGTAGAACTGGCCCCCTTGAGTTTCTGAGATGGTAACTGTCTTTGGGAGTAGAAAGCCCTTCTTTCTCCTGAGAAGAGGCTGGTGGTTTTGAACTTTCTGATCGCAGCCCAATGTGTAACCACTATCCCACCAGGGACCTGGGAAAGACAGAATGTTTGGTAGAGGGTCAGCACAAAATGGGAGAGGACCTTAAGGAGATGGACTGACACGGTGGCTATACAGCAACGGGCTCAAATAGGGCCATTGTAAGGCTGGCCCAGGACCCAGGCAGGGGATGGGTCTGTTGAACCTAGCGGTTGCTGTGAATCAGAATCAACTGAACAGCAACTCACAACAAACCTTCTAGTTAAATAAAGATGATCATATTAGATTTTTTTAAAACTCCAATTAAAGAGTGCTTTCAAGAGGCACCTGCCAAACACAAAGTCCACAGAAGAGCTGAAATAAAAGAAGGCAAGAGCGTGCAGACGGTAAATAGCGACGAGCTCTTAGAAGCTTGATTTCCACCGCACAGCAGTGGCTCCCTCCGCAATGGTGCTGACTCTCAGCACCGTTTAGCCAGTAAGGGGCCTTCAGAGGGAAAATGTCTTTTGAGATCTGCCAGCAGCTACTTCCAAGAGTCTCTTGGCCCCAAAGCACCCAGGGAACAAGCTGCCAGACCAGGTGCACACTCAACAGAACTCCTTTGAAGTGAACCTGGGTTTTCGGGCATCAGTGAAATCACTGACCAATGAGATGACGGGGGTGGAACCACTCCAAACCATTCAAGTAAACCACAACCAACGCCTACCGAGCAACAAAACTGGCTCGTTAAGGGGTAAAAGCTCTCGTCGGCCCGACCTCACCACAAAGCTGGGTTCCGGGATCGCGTCGCTAGGAGGCCCGAGGCCCCCCGGCCCGGAGGCCGAGAGAGGCGCGCGCCAGGCCCCGACTCGCAGTCACTCACCACTGCAGATGGAAAGTGTGGCCGCAGTGGATAGCGGCCACGTCGCGGGAGTGATCGAAGAAGTCGGAGCAGATCGTGCAGAGCGCACGGATAGGCATAGCGGCGGCATTCAGGAGACCCGGGTAACCAGCGCAACCACAGCCGGCCGAGCTTCCCCGCTGCACCTCAGCTCCTTTCAAATTTGGTTCCACCGCATCGCTTCCGGGAGCGAACCGGAAATGACGACATCAGATCCGGAGACGAAGCCGGCAGCTGGATCCTGGATTGGGCGAGCCAGCCGGGGGCGGGGCTTGGCGGCTCGCCGGCGCGGGGTGCTGGGTCTGAACGCGGGATCGTGCAGTCCCAGGGTCCTAGGGCTTCCGGCTGTGGGCTGAGGTCCGCAGAGCTTCAAGATCCGCAGCAACCGCGCTCCTGGCGGGGCTCATCCTCAGTTGCGACGTTCTAATCCCAAACCAGACTTGATATGAGATGTGTCGGGCATGGGACCCTCAAGCCCTAGTGCGCGTAGGATGGTATGATGATCTCGATGGGGAGCGGGGCTCCCCTCCCGACACTCTGGGCAGTTTGGGACGGACACAGAGGCCAGCCCCTGGTTTCCACAAGCTAAATGAATGCCTCACCCGGTCAACCTTCTGGCTCAGTATGATCCTCAAAGGATGACAGGAAAACCCTAACGCTTCTGCACAGCTAATGCCACCCTGGCTTTGTCCAAGCAAGGCATGACATCCCTTAGTTTATAGACCCAGAGCCTAGGGCAGTATCCTCATTTTAGCCCCCAGGAACCGAGCAGACGCTTGGAATTTATGAGGTCTTGATGTCCACAGACAAGTGGTGCACACGGGGCACTAACACAGTCTCCTCATTGCCACACCTGAGGTTGTCCGTGAGAGAAAGTAGCATCCCTGGTGAGCTCACCTGGGCCCATCTGGGCTGGAGCAAGTCTCCAGGTGACCCAGGGGTCTGGACCCTAGCTTTGGCAGTGTTGCATCTCCCATCCTTAGGAGAAACCTCAGACAGAGCCTCATAATTTAAAGCTGATGTGCTCCAGCTGAAGTAGTCCTGGAAGGACGTCCATTCGGGCTTGCGTGGAGAAGCTCAGGTGTTGTTCATAGAAAAGACTCAACTCTGAAGGCAGCAGAGAACCTTGGTGGGATGCCCACCTTGCCCTCTTCTCCCCAACCCAGGGGAGCCCATTGTGGCCATGGACAAGGGCTCACCCTGTGTTGGCTGGCCCTGGGTAGGTTCCAGCTCTATGCCCAGATTAAGACAAGCAACAGGAGTCAGCAGAATGGCCCAAGCCCTGGCACCTGCATGGATGTCTGGAGTCCACACCACGGGCTCACCGGAGAGAAACATGCTGCGGCTCTCAGCACAATTTCCGGGCACGGAGTACAGGCCACAGCGGGATCTGCCCCCGACTCCCCCTCCCCACCGCTTTCCAAGGGCCCTTGGATGGAGGAAGCAAAGGCAAGAGGGTGCCAGAGACTTTCACAGGGTGACGTTTATTTGCCAGGTTCAGCAGGCATAGTTAACCCACTGGCCTTCTCATACGTACACGCGCACACATGCGCACTCACATACACGCACGCACGCACACCAGAGCAGACCCACAGGCATGCAGGGAGAAGGGCAGGACCACCACAGAGTGCCGAGTGGGGGCTGGGATTGGTATGGCGGCCTGCCCAGACTGTAGTGGGGTCTGACAAAGGGTACCTGCCAGAAAGATCCATCAGGGAACTAGGGGCGGGGTGGGCTTGTTCTACTTCTCCATCCCAACAAAAGCAACTCATCGCTTAGAGGGTCCTGGGCCTCCCTCAAAGCCCCGAGGGAAGGGGAGGTGGGCTGTAAGAAAGGGTGGGTGGGAAGGGTTCCACTCTTCTGTTGGAATGGGAAGGCAGAAAATACACCAGGGTAAAGGGCAAACCCCACAATCATAGTCTATGGGGCTCTGCCATGAGGCAGCCACGCTCAGATGGAGAGGACGTAGGGGCTGAGGGTGAGGAGGAAAGCATTTAGGGAGAGCAGGGGCCGCTCAGTCCTCCACTTGACCCAGGGAAAAGACCCCACTGGGCTGAGGACCTGGGTGCGGGGCCTGCACACTTTGCCATATCCTTACTGCTCCTTTCCTTTCCAGGCTTATGGGGCTTGGGGGTCCAGGGCAGCCCATTGCAGGACCCAGGAAATGACACGGGGATCTTGGAATGGCCTTCCAAGGCCAAAGATGGACACTTCTACCCTCCTACTCACTGTTTCCCACTTCTGAGGGTCCCCGCAGGCCCCCTGCCACCCATCTTCTCTGAAAGAACACTGCCCTAGTTTTCTGCATCCTTCATTTCAGCCTGTGTCCACTCCCAGAGAGAACCTAACCCTGCAGACAGGGCCTCGACAGAGGGTGAACCCTCAGGGCAAGTGCCCCTGTACTGGGGTATTGGGGAGGACGGGGGCCCACAGGGCCTGACTGAGGGAATCATGAGGCAAGAAGGGATGGGAAAGGGGAGCAGGGAGCTCCTGAGTATCTCTGGAGCAGCATCCCACAAGGAACAAGAAACTGAAGCTAGCAAAAGACGGAAAAGCCACAAAGAATCCATGCAGGGGCTGGGGCCGGCCCTGCCTCTGGCCTGCCCATCACTCACACACATACACATGGGAGAGAGACAACTTTCTCATGGCTGCCAGCTGTGCCCCACCCTGGGGGGTGGGGGCCAGGAGGGCATTACGCCAGCGACTATATACAGTGAGAAGCCCCATCCACTTTCCCCCCCACCTCCTGTCACTTCCCCACCCTCTCAACACCAGCCTGCCCCCTCAGCTGGCCTCCTTCCTCTGAGACTCCTGGACACAGCCAGCAGTCTCCCCGCCTTTACTAGAGGAGAGCGCCTGGCCTGTGGCACCCTCTGGGACTGTGCTGTCCGGCTGGGCCAGAGCCGGCTCAGGGGTGACAGGTGACATGGGGGCCAATGTGGTGCTGCTTTCAGTGGCAGGCACGGGGCCCTCTTCTGTGGCTGGTGTGGCTCTCCCGTCGGTGGCCGGGGTGATGCTCCTGTCGGTGGCCGGGGTGACACTCCCGTCAGTGGCCGGAGTGGTGCTCCCGTCGGTAGCCGGGGTCATGCTCCCGTCAGTGGCTGGGGTGGCACTGCCATCGGTAGCCGGGGTGGCACTACGGTCAGCCGAGGCCACACTCTCATTCTTTGCAGCAAGACCAGGGTCACCCTCGGTGGGTGGGGTTGGGGCGGCCCCGCTGGCGGCCGCACCCGTGGTCCCACCGGCAGCTCCCGGGGTAGCAGTATCTGTGGCTGGGGCAGGCTGGGCAGCAGCAGCGCTGGACTGCTCCGGCGCCCGGAGCCGTTTCATGAGCGTGGTCACTCGGACAGCCTTCTGGAAGGAGGACAAGGGAGAAAGGCTCCCGGTGAGCTGTTTCAGAAGCTGGTCTCCTTCTCTGGCCGTAGCCAAACCCAGTCTCTTCTGTGGTGCCCGCAGCTGCCACCCTCGGCCCAAGGGCCCAGCTGCTTCGGAGGCCAGCTCTAAGGCAGGGACTGCGGCTAGTGGTATGTTGAAAAGCTGTGTGGCACGAGCAAGAAGCCCTGGGAGCTCCAAGAAGCACTTGGACCCGCCCAGGAAGAGAGCCAGCCACAACGTACGTACCTTCCACTTGGCCCTGGCGAAATTCTTCTCAATCTGGGCACAGACACCATCCTTAATGTTCTTGTCCGAAGCAGCGTTGCCAGAAATCCTAGGAAAGATGAGTGTGTCTGGTCCCGAGGGGGGGACGGGCCTCTGTGGAGACACTGCCCGACACCCCAGTTCCAGGGAGCCCCGGGCAGGGCCTCCGGGGTCGGTGGGAGCTCAAGGCCTGGCAGATGGGGCCCTGAGAGACGTGAGGAAAGGGAGGGAATCGAGTGTTGGTCCTCTTCCCTGAACCCACCTCCCATCAGCCTCGGCCTCGGCGCCCTGCTCACCACTCATGGGAGATGGCCTCCTCCGCAGTGATCCGCTGGTCCTGCTCCACCTCCATCAGCCGGGTAACCAGGTCTTTGGCTGAGGACAAAGCCAGGAAGGGGGCACAGTGCATGTGTGCCCGTATCTAACTGTTGAGGGGGACAATGGGGCTACAGTGCAGGAGTGGAATCCAGCGAAGGAGGTTGTGAGCAGAACCTGTCCCCTACCCCTGCCCCCCTCACACACATACACACAACACACACACACTCCCCCAGCGGCACACGGTCCACCTCCGTACCGGCCTGTGAAATGTCATCCCAGTACGGAGAGTCAAACTCATAGTCTCCAGCCAGGATCTTTCGGAAGAGATTCTTGTCATGGTTCTCGTAGTCATCTTCCTCGACCTCCTCGTAGAAGGGTGGGTTCCCTGAAAGCCTGCGTGGGGATCAAAGGGTGGGGTCACTGGGGGACGGCCGCCGACCATGCAGGTTCCCACCCCGCTTGGCTCAGAGCCTGCTCCCCTGCCCGTCTACTCACAGGATGTACATGATAACGCCAATGGCCCAGCAGTCTACAGGGCGTCCATACCGCTGCCGGCCTACCACCTCGGGGGCTGGAAACAGTATCCATCTGCCAGTTAGTGGGTGCTGGTCTGGCGGGGCCCACTCCCTCCCTGGTGCCGGACACACTCACGCCCTGCACGTGGACTTAGTTCCACCCAACCCACAGCGGCCGCTCAGAGGTAACCCGCCATCCCGCCCTGCCCCTGTCTCCTCCCCCTGCTTGCCCAGGTACTCGGGGGTCCCACAAGGGTCTTTGATGAGGCCGTTCTCCAGCTTGGCCAGGTGGAAGTCGCTGATGACGATCTTTGAGTTCTTCAGCCGGTTATAGTAAACCAGGTTCTCCAGCTACTCCCAGGGGGTGCAAGCAAAGGAAGACACCATGAGGGCCTCACAGGCCACGTCCAGCCCCCAAGGTGTTGCCCGGCCCCATCCCGGCAGTCCACGGACCTCCTGACCACGGCCTCACCTTGAGGTTCCTGTGTACGATCTTGAGTGAGTGCAGATAGGCCACTGCCTCCAGGACCTGCCGCACCACGTTGCTTGTGTCTCGCTCTGAGTAGTAGCCCTGGTCCAGGATCCAGTCAAACACCTCCCTGCCCGTGGCCCTGAGGGACACCAGCCCCTGAGCCGAGTGGGCAGGACTCAGGTCAGGGGTGGGCTTGAGAGGGGTGCCTGTGCCGGGCAGCAGGCTGGGCAAGGCACAGGGACCTGGGACCCTAGAAAGAGGGCTTTCCCTGTGTCCAGAGGGTGGGGCAGGTGAAGGCCCTGGGGCCTGGGGAATCCTGAAATCCCAGACCCCCCACCCCCACCCCACTCACAGCTCCAAGAATATGAAGTACTCCTTGCGGGTCACAAACACATCCACCAGCTGCAGGATGTTGGGGTGCTTCACCCTGGCAGTGAGTCAGTAGTTAGGGCCAGGGCAACCCCAGAGAGAGGCTCTGGATGCCACTGTGGGTGTGGAGTAACTGACCAGAGACTGATCCTGCCTCAGGCCGCATGCCCACCGCGCCCTCCACCGCTACCCCCCACCCCCCACCCCACCCCCCAGCCTCACACTCACATCTTGAGGATGCCTATCTCGTTCTTGGCCGCCTTCCGCACTTTACGGCCATCTCGCTTCTGGAACTTCTTGCATGTGTGCATCTTGCCTGTCGTCTTGTCCTTGGCCCGGAAGATCTCACAGAACTCCTCGCTGCAGCCGACAGGTACCCCACTCAGCCCCCCGACCTGCATAGGGGCTGCATTCTGCTCTCCCTCCCTCTATCCCCCCACCTTAGCCCCTCCCACTTGCCCACTTGCCCCAGTGACTCACGTCTTGACGACCTGTCCCAAATCATATCTGTCGGTCACCTCCGATGGCTGATTGTAGTTCTTCTTGTCACCCAGAGTCACACACCCAAACGGCATGGCCGGGCCCTGAGCTGTGGGCAGAAAGGCCTGGCTCAGCTGTACCCTTCCCCTCTGCTCACAATATCGGGGCTGCCTCTGGGAGACCCTAGGCTGGCTTGGGCCAAGCTAAGGGCAGAAAGCCCACCAGAAAGGGATAATGCTTAGGTGGGCTCAGATTCTACCCTTGCTTTTCTGATTATACCTCTGGTCATCGGCTTGGCCACCCAGGCTGCCACAGCCCCCATTAGGAAGACCGTTCAAGCAGGAGAGCCAAGATGCTAGACGGGTTTCGATGAATTTAGGAAAGACCTGGAGATCTATTTCCAAAAACCAGCCAATGAAAACCCCACAGACCATCATGATTGATCCAACCTGCAGTCCATCCTAGGTTAGGAGGTAGGTGGGGGTGGTCCAGGACCTAGCAACCTTTTGCTCTGTTGGGTTGGGTTCTCCATGAGTCAGGGGCAGACTCCATGGCACCTACCACCACCGCCGCCGCCACCACCACCACCACCACCAAGGGCAAATGTATGAGACGTATGTGTCAGAGGACAGTTTTGCCTTACACGCCTTCAAAAATCTCTACCAAAGGATCTCTTTATGAAAAATCTCTTGAAATTGCGGCAATGTCACAGATGAAGGGGTCTCTAACCACCCCGCCCCACCCCTATCAGATTGCCAGAGATGAAAAGGCCCGCAGGCCCCAAAGGCAGGTGAATGTGGGGAGCAGAACACTGTCGGCGGAAGGTAACTCTCCTTTGGAAGAGGTTTGACGGGAAGTTATTCATGTGGAACATACTCCGTGAACCACCACCTAACCATGCCAGGAAGTCCAAAGGAGTGCTGTCTACAGGGTCACCGAGCTCGCTAGTACAACTAAAGTATCCAAATGTGAAGCTCTGGGTTCTGGACGTAGACATACACTTCTGAGAACATTTCCATCTCCCCCCGCCGGCCCCGATGAACTCCGCACTCGATCGACACCGCGGCACCACGGCGGTGTGGGCATCCCTGTGGGACTCAGCCTCGTGCCTTTTCCATGGTTTCTTTTTTGCTTTGGGGGGTTGCTTTGCATTTAGAGATGCAAGAATAGGGTCGTCGGATGGAGGAGGGCATGGGTTTCCCAGCAAAACCCTCTGAGGAGGGCATCCCTCGCTCCCCTTGAAGAGCGAGCTGGTACCTGAACAAGATGGGAAAAATTCCCTTGGTGCAATTTTCCTGACCATTTTCTGACCAATGTGGCTTTCGCTTTTCTTTTTTTTTTTTATTATTATGATTTTTTTTTTTTAACATTTTATTAGGGGCTCATACAACTGTTATCCCAATCCATACACACATCAATTGTGTAAAGCGCATTTGTACATCGTTTCTCAAAACATTTTCTCTCCACTTAAACCGACATTAGGTCCTCATTTTTCCCCTCCCTCCCCGCTCCCCGCTCCCTCATGAGCCCTTGATAGTTTATAAATGGGTATTTTGTCATATCTTGCCCTGTCCGACGTCTCCCTTCATCCACTTTTCGGTTGTCTGTCCCCCAGGGAGGAGGTCACACACAGTTCCATGTAATCGGTTCCCTCTTTCCTACCCACTCTCCCTTTACCCTCTCTGTTTTGCCACTCACACCACTGGTCCTTAGGGCTCATCCATCCTGGCTTTCGCTTTTCTTAAAGCGTCTCCATAACAAGCCCTCATGGTAGCTCTGTGCCCTTTGAGAAAATCCATGAAGATGGCCCCTTTGGGGTCCCCCAAAGCAGTGGCTATAGCTTTCTTCTTTTAAAAAAAGTCATTTATCTGAGGCTCTTACAGCTCTTATAACAATCCATACATCAATTGTATCAGACATATTTGTACATATGTTGCCATCATCATTTTCTAGACATTTACTTTCTATTGAGCCCTTGGTATCAGCTCCTCGTTTTTCCCTCGTGAACCCTTGATAAATGATAAATTGTTATTATTTTCATATCTTATACCGACCACCGTTTCCTTTCCCCCATGTTCTCTGTTGTCCGTCCCCCTGGAGGGGTGTGTGTGTGTGTGTGTGTGTGTGTGTGTGTGTGTGTTTATGTGTCGATCATTGTGAAGGGTCCCACCTTCCTCCCCTACTCTCCCTACCTTCCCCCTATCCCTCTGGTATCACTACTCCCATTGCTGTTCCTGGATTGCCACACCTTTCTGAGCTGACCTCTTTGCCCAGCAGATCCCCTCGAAAGCCACTGTTTTGATTGGACCCTGCTCTCTGGATCATCTTGGGTGATCTAAGCTTTATGGCTGGTTATGATTTGTTCCATACGATCATCTTCATTAACTCCCATCTTGCTTAAAAGACCGATGGAAAGATTAGCCCTTTGAGCTAGCCAGACTTCCTGCAACACTTTATTTGAAGGCACGCTGATGGAGCTAAGGCAACTGTATCACAGAGAGAATCTGTCTGCAGCCATCCACTGATTGCAGACATATCTAAACACGGCTTGTTAGTCCATACAAACCCAGGCATGTATGGACTAAAACCTTAGCAGCAGGACTTTTTAACTTACCCTCGCATATACCCTACAAAGGAGTCTACTGATGTATCAGGATGTGCTCATAATCTCCCAAGAACAGGGCCCTTGGACACCCTTCGAGCCTGGAGCCCGACTCTCCCTCATGGCTCATCTTTCAGCCAAGGGACGGACAGGGCTGTCATATTGGTCCAGGGAGGGAGGTCGATGCTCATGAGAACCATCAAGCCTCTAAGATAGAAGGGACATTTGCCCAGGAATAAAGTCAGAAGGCAGGAAAGGGTAGGAGGGACGGACACACAAATGGTCAAGACCCGAGTAGCAGGAAGGGTGCTGTCACATTCCAGAGGTCTCAGTCCACATCACAAAACAAAAACGCGTGTGAGTTGTTGGATGGCAGTCTGTCTCCTCACAATAAAAAGCCTTAAGGGATGTGCGTCGTGGTCACGTGCCTAATTGCTCCAAACTGGAAACAGACTGAATATCCAGCAACCGAAGGAGGCACTGCGGGCCAGTCACATAGTAAAATGATCCAGCCACGATAAATTATAAAACAGCAAGGGGGACACAGAAGGTGCAGCTGAGCCCAAAATCCCTTGTGGCAAAGTTGGGTGAGCGCCCAGCTGCTCACGGGAAGGCTGGAGGTGGGAAGCCAGCCAGAGGTGCCTCAGAAGAAAGGCCCGGCCACCTGATTCTGAAGAACCAGCACCGAAAGCTCTCCAAAGCAATTCTGACTTGAGAGCAACTTTTTTTTTTTTCAATAGTTAGACCCAAGCATGGATCCCTGGTGGCGCAGTGGTGACACATTGGGCCGCTAACTGCAAGATCAGCAGTTCGAAACCACCAGCCACTCTGCGGGAGAACGGGAAGGCTTTCTATTCCCATAGCGTTACAGCCGCAGAAGCCGACAGGGAGAGTTCTGCCCAAACAGACTGGATGACGGTGACTTTGGTTTGAGTCACAGGTAAGTGGATGGTGAATCTCACAAACACAGTATTACGCAGGGGTGGGGATCCATACGAGGAAGCTTGAAATTGTTCATAGAAAAGTGGAAGAGAGAGAGAACAGAATTTTTCCAACAGCTTGTCCAAGCCTCCTCATACATACAGTAGGAGGCCCGGTGGCAGAGTGGGTTACCTACTGGCTGCTAACCACAATGTCAGCAGTTCGAAACCACAGCTGCTCTTTGGGGGGAAAAAAACGAGGCTTTCTACTCCCATTAAGATTTACAGTGTTGGGAACTCACGGGGGCAGTTCTACTCTGTCCTGTAGGTAGGTGGCAGCACGGGGTTGTTTATCCATCACAACAATGCCCCTGCGCATTCTTCAAAGGGGGGGGTCCCATGGGGATTGACCGAGTGGCAGTGAGCGATTTTTGTTTTCATATGTGTAGTATGATTGGCATCTATACTGTTTACCCACTGCTATCAGATCCATTCCAACCCTTATGACCCCTAGAGGACAGAGTAGACCTGCTCCCTCGGATTTCCAAGACTGTATCTCTTTCCCGGTGCAAAGAGCCTCATCTGTATCTGGAGTGGCTGGTGGTGGGTTTGAACCACCGACCTTGTAGTTAGCAGCTGTATTCCTAGGGCTCCTTTTAGGGATATAAACACAGTTGCAAAACCATAAATAAAGCTCGGAGTCGGGTCAGGGTTACCGCAAAGAGAAGGGGAGAAGCGGTGACAGAATCTGGACACATGGCGGAGGGGACTCGGGAGCCCATTTCTGAGCCTGAGTGGTGGATACACAGGTGTTTGCTTTATCATAATTTGTAAAAATGTACACACGAGATTTGTGTATATCCCTGGATTTTTGTTATAGTTCACAATTTTAAAAAATAGTAATAGAGAGTAATAGAGAACCCACAAGGTTCTCAACTTCTGCGTCTTGACCCCTTTGGGGGTTGAACGACCCTTTCACAGGGGTCACCCGATTCATAACAATAGCAAAATGATAGTGATGAAGTAGCCACGAAAATAATTTTATGTTTGGGGGTCACCACCACATGAGGAACTGTATGAAAGCGTCGCGGCATTAGGGAGGTTAAGAACCGCTGTAATAGAGAGTATGGTCAGCAATACTGAGGAATATTACAAAGACTACAGCACATCAGAAATGTGCTACCATAGGCCAGCCCCTGAGATGCACCGTTAAGTGAAAAAGCAGAAAGACAGAATGGAGCCTAGAGCATTGTACTCGCGAGGTAAAAATCTTAAACGCTTCTGCACGGTTGTCCATGCATGAAAACGTTGCCGAAAGACACTGAAGAAAACAGGATTTTCTTTGAGTCAAAGAATTTAGTGGCAGAGAGACAGGTTCTCTCTTTAAAAAAAATTTTTAAATGGTTTTACTAGGGGCTCATATAACTCTTATCACAATCCATACATACATCAATTGTGTAAAGCACATGTGTACATTCATTGCCCTCATCATTCTCAAAACATTTGCTCTCCACGTAAGCGCCCAGCATCAGCTCCTCAATTTCCCCTCCCTCCCCACTCCCCTGGCTTATCCCTTTTGTTTATTAATTTTCTGTTAGCCTTTTGGTGACATACTTATTTTTATTGATTTAATAAAAGCATTGCTAAAAATAATTAAAAAGAATAAAAGCTTTTGAGAATTGACAAGGGCAATGAATGTACAAATGTGCTTTACACAATTGATGTATGTATGGATTATGACAAGAGTTGGATGAGCCCCTAATAAAACGATTAAGAAAAAAATTTTTTAAAGCATTGCTTATGAAAACACGCACAACAAAGCACCAATTCAACAATGTCTACGGGA